TTATATGAATATTTTTGAATATTTTGTATTTTTCAATTATTTTTGAAATTAACGATTTTTATGTTACTACTGTAATAATATAATTTATAATAATTTATAATAATTTATAATTAAAGCTAATATTAAAAAAATTTTAATTTTTGATAAAAATATATTAGATACAAACTTTTTACAACGCAGAACACTTGAGATTTTTATTTACTATTTTAATTATGTCTTAAACCATCAGGTTTAACAGGCAAATTTGCCTGCTAAAATTTTACAATCAGAAATATGCATGAAATTAAATTCAAAAAATATAAAATTCTTAATTTTATTTTGATATAAAAACAAAAAATATTTACTAATAAAATAAAAATTTCAGTATAGAAAAAATTTCAATTTCTATATGTTTTGCTAAGCTTTTTTTATTTTCAATAATTTATTGTAGGGGGTATGTACACACTCTTGGAGTTAGCACTATAAAATTATTAAATGAGGATACGTTTCTCTGTATTAGATTCTAAATTCTATTTTTTATATTATAACTATTCGAACTCATGTCAAAGATCACAGCTCTGCCAATGTCAAGTACGTATATATTTATTCATTTAAGTTTTCTCTTCGCTTAATTGCTGTATTTTATCTATACTAGATATTTTTGCATCACAAACTAATTTATTTCATAATTCTTTGAATTTCTCCAATTTTAAATTTTTAATTCTGATCCTTTATCAATATTGAAGAATTCGATAGAGGATTTATGTCATTAATGTAATCTGATATTTGCGTTTTACAGTCGTGGCCAAAAGTATCCAACCCTTCAGCTTTACCCAAAATTATATTATGATAACCCACCAAACTTTCCATACGTGAAGTGTGATACAATACATGATCACCAGTACTTTTATAGGTTTGTGAAACTTTTTTTAAGGAGTCTAGATCATCATCGAATTTTCATCTCAAAAAAAATGGAAATTTCTCTTGCTAAATGATATGAAATCACTTTTTTGCATGAATATCCAGACGGACCAAAGTGGAGTTATGGAAAAATAGCTTCCAAGATTCATTGTAGCAAGTCTACAGTCATTTATTGGGTCCAAAAATATCGGGAGAATGAAGATTTGAGTGATGAATCAAGATCGGGTCGACCACGTGTCACAACGGCGAAACAAGATGAACAAATTGTGAATATAGTGAAGAAGGAACATGATATAACAAGTGCTCAAATACAACAAAATATAGGACAACGGGGTATTGAGATTAATGGGAGGACCATAAAACAAAGTCTTCATGAGGCTGGAGGTAAGTATACTAACGCCATCTCTAAACCACTTCTTAAAGAGAAGCATCGAGAAAACCGGCTGGAATGGGCGAAGAAGCATCAAAATTTTGATTGGAACAAAGTCATTTTTACAGATGAAAGTACATTCCAGCTGTTTCAGCACAAAAGAAAGGTTTGGCAATTCATTGGGAGGAAAAAAATTTTTCGTTTGGTTAAGCATCCTCAGAAGGTTCATGTATGGGGATGTTTTTCGTCTTCAGGATTTGGCAAATTGGTGTGTTTCCAGCGGAACCTTGATGCTGATTTATGTGTAGGATTTATGAGCGGGGTCTTCTGCCTTCCACCTCCCAGCTTTTTGGTGAGGGCAACTTAGACTGGATCTTGCAAGAAGACAATGATCCCAAACACACTACAAAAATCGCGAAAAAATGGAAGGCGGAAAACAACGTAAAAATACTCCCCTGGCTGTCGATGTCTCCGGACCAAAACCCCATAGAAAATGTGTGGTGGTTAGTGAAACTAAATGTTGCAAGAAAAAAAAATTCGGACAATTAGGGGGTTAAAGGGCGAAATTACCAAAGAATGGAACCGTCTTCCGACCGAGCTCGCCGCAAAATTGGTAGAAAGTATGAAACGTCGTATAACTGAACTAATAAATGCGAATGGCGATTATACTATGTACTAAATATCATAGTTAGTAATGTATTTTATATTTTTTTTAAAAAAAATAAAACTTACTTAATTTTTTGGAGAGTTAGAAGGGGTCAGATACTTTTGGCCACGAATGTATATATTTGATTAAACTAATAACTAATAAATTAAAATCGTAAATTACATATGTAAAAACAAATGGAATTATTAATCTAATATTCTATTAATTTCATTTCGGTCTAAACGTATATTCATTCCAAATTTGGTATTTCCTGTTCCAGTTGAAATAGTGCACAAATAATTTCTATGAACATGTATCTTTTACTATGTTTTGCATGGAATATATGATACATGCACATTTCTATCATAAATTGCTTTAAACAAAATGTCTAAGATGACATTTTGTAGTTTTCTTTCGAATTTGGTTTGCTACTTTCTTTTGTCATTTAGCGTTAATACAAATGAAAGTTGCAGCTACGTATTTTAGAATCTGAAAGACCAAAAAATGATACGCACACATAACGATAACGATAATGAGTGACAACGATATCATCAGTACAAAATAAATTCTAATTAACCCTTGCATCTTTGGGCATATCAATATAAGCTGTACGTCCGAAAATTTTTTGAATGCCAAATCAATACGGCGCAGGAGTGACAATATGGCTATATTGGAATTATTGAAATTGGATTTATAAGTATTTTACTTTTTGTTATTTGAATTTTTTTATTGTTAATGAAATTTCTCATTAGTGAAAAGAACAAAGTGCGAGAATCTTTGTTATTGTTATTACTAATTATATTACCTCAATTCTAGAAAGCTTTATGTTAGTATAGAATTCCCCTTCAAATCTCCTTTATTATTTTTTTATTCTCTCTCCCCTTTGATCTTTACTCTCCCACAACTCTCCCACATTATTATTCCTTTTCAAGTAAACACAATTTTCATAAAATTGGCATAGGCCTTAGATATCTCTCTTTTCTTCTTAATATTTTCTTTATCAGTTTATACCCTCTCCCAAGCCAGGTTCTCATTTGTAAACTAATTTAATGATTAGTGAACAAACTTGTAACAATATATTATATAATAGTTATTTTAATAATAGAGTTATTTATAAGCTAAAAATAAGTAATTTTAAAAAATTTTATTATTAATTTTAAAATAATTATATAATACAATACATATTTTATATATAAATAAATAAAAATAAAAATATATATAAATAGAAATAACAATTATTATTTGTTTATAAAAAAATTACAAATTATTATAAGTAAAATTTATTAAAACTAAATAGTATTATATAATATAAGATTCAATTAAATTATATTATATAATTAATATGTGAAAAATTCTAGAGTAAAGAGTATTATTTATCAGATAATTTTTATTTATTAGAAACATTCTATTCATATTTTCTTTTCTTGATCAAAATGAATTATAATAATTTAAAACTTGATAATTAATAATTTCTATTCTTAAAAAATTATTTGATATTTGAAATTTTTCTAATAAATTATTTATATAAAAAATAATAAATATAAATTATATAATAATTTTAAAAATTATATTTATTAACTTATTTAAATATTAATAAATACTTTGATAATATTATTATTATTTTTATTTTTGATTAATTAATATAATATTAAGACGAATTTTTATATAGCTAAATTACTATAATTAATTAATATCTTTTTAAAACTTTAATTATATTTTAATTATAATAAATAATTTTTATTATTATATATTTTACTAATTATATAATTAATTAATAAATATAAACAAGAATTAAAAAAATAGATTAAATGAAAATAAAAGAAAAATATTTAAATTTTATATTGATTTTACTAATTTTTTTTACTTTGTTTTTCTTACAAACAAAAAATATTACATTTTTGATAAGTGAAAAATTTAATAATTCAAGTATAACTAAAATAATAAAAAACTAATCAATAACAAAAATATTTTAATAAGTTCAATTTTTAACTTATTAAATATATAAAAGAGAAAAATGAAAAAAATAGATAAATAAATATGTAAATTATAAATTTTCTATATAATATTATTAGAAACTTTATTTATTACTTTATAAGACAGAATCCAGAAATATTGCTACAATAATCAAATTTTTTGTTTTATACAAATTTCCAATGACAGATTTATATTAATTATTATGTTTTTGCCAGAAAAGTTGAAACTCATCTGCTGATTTCAATAAATCACATTGTGAAAATTTTGAAAAAATCTGGTATTTACAAGATATTTGTAATTAACATTATTAAATATATCACTAATTTTATTATTGATCCAGTATTTATCTGATCTTGTATATTTATCCTGGTACTGGAAAAGATTCATGCATTTTTTTCTTCATGTTGCATTTTCAGTAAATTAACAACTGATCAATATGCAGCTCTTTTTAGCCTTCCAATGGCTTTTTTCTCCTTTATATTATTTTTTTCATATGGACTAAGTGCAATAGAAACAATATAAATTGTATCAATTTTATTTCAGTCTTGTAAGTGTCATGCACTGTAGTACACTATTTATTTAACATTAATTTCGCTTTGAATTCCTTATGAATGCGAAAGTTTGGTTAAATAATGCTACTTGCTACAAATCTCATTTATATCATGCTAAATACATGTACAATTAATTTACATCAGTCAACACTGAAATATGCAATATGTTGCCCATTTTTTGTATGTAAATTACTTAGAGATCTAAAAATTGCATGTTTTGGAGTAATATTAAAAAACCCATGAACACAATTCGCCGAACCATTGTCCAAAACTAAGCTAATGAAAACTGGATTCTGTAGAATTTTTTGTACGGATGTTAATGGTTTTTGTTCTTCTGATGAAGTGGATGGAATCGTAGTTGGAATCGTTGATTGCGAAATTAATTTCTTATACACGTCAAAATCAACTTCGAAGCGTTTCGGATTCAGTTGTATGCCTAGTATGCCTCTAGATTTACTAGTGATTTGGGTTTGTCCGAATTGGTGTTTTCCTTTTCCAGCGGCGATGCTAGAAAATCAATTGATATTAGATTGTTTCAAGTTGAACTTAAAACAATTCAAAAATTTTACCCGTAATTGACCGAAAATTTAATTGGTATACTATCGAATTCATCAAATGGTGTCACTTTGTATGATAAAGCTGGAATTAGTTTCATCACTAATATAAAAATGAATTCTCGATATCAATATAAAAACTTACTATCTTGAAGATCATAACAAAAAACACACGCCTCAAGAGCATTATTGTTATTCACGAAATGAGTTCCTACGATATATTTGGAATCCCTAGGATCATCAACTCGAAAATCTTTTGCTCTTGAAACACAAGTAGCAAAAAAACTACTATTTGGATCACTTCTTCGTTGAACCTTAAATTGTTCATTAATTTCTTTATTATCACTTTCGAAAACTGGTTGCCCGAATAAATTCAACATTGTGGATGTGCCAATTACAATCCAACCCAATTTCAATGTAAACATCGGTGATTTTGATCCTCTTTGTAAATTTCCCAGGCGATGAATAAGAATCACAGGCAGACTTTTATCGTCTATATAATGAACCCGTGCAGCAAATAAGTTTTTCGAGTCGTCTTTCATTACTGTTACGAATATATGATCTGTACTTGAAAGTTGAAGATTTGGAGGTAGTTCATGGATATATGGATCTGTTTTAGAAAGGTACATTCGAAAAGATAATGTTTCAACTCTTGATTCTACGATTCGTTTTGCAAATAATGCTTCTGCAACTTTGGATCTTCTTTCTTGATCCAGAATATCAAAAATTGAATTTATTTCGGTATATTCTGCTACCGCCCATTTTTTATGGTCGTTTAATGAATTTATCCATCCTAAAAATTATTTAAGATTAAAAAAGAATCACATAAAAAAGTTAAATAACTTTATATTTCTGCTAACCAGGCATTCCAGATTCATGATATCTTTCTTCCAGGCCACCAAACATTCGAAAAAAAGAATATTCATTGACAAATGAATTCATTTGCTTTGTTTGTTGACTTTTTCCTACTTCCCCGTCAATTTCGACATATCCAGTTGCTTTTAACTTCCCAGAAGCTTTTGTTTCTCTCGAATTATTATACTCGTTTAGGTTTTTTTCTTTGCTTTCTTTAGATAAAATCCTGCCACCAATTCCGAGCTTTTTGCACCATAATGGGCCGTATTCTTTAGCGACCTTTTCAAGGTTTTTACGCTGATTATCTGATGCGAGTGCGTCATCGACAGCTTTTATAAATTCTTCTGTGGGCTTTACTTCTGATTTTGAATATAATACTGTAGCTTTTATTACTTTCGAAGTCCAAAAAGTAACTGAATTTCCAATGCTTGTGCGATTTTCAGTCTCTTTAACACTAGATCCACCAAGGGTTGCCGAAATCGAGGATAACCTGCAATTAAAATCAATTAGCATACGTAGTATACGATTATGCATAAATAAATCTATACGAATAAACCTACCACGGCAAATTCGCAGTGACTTCAGACTTTACTAAAAGATTTTTCACACAAATGTTATCAAAGTCTGTTTGGCATACGACCGTTTCATCAAGTGAATCTGGTCTTACTAACTTTCTCGCATCAAGTCTCGTAATATCAAATGCTTTTTTCTCTGCGCTCTTTGGACCTTTTTCCAAAAAATCAAGCCCATACTCCAGTTTACATATTTCCTTTATACATTCCCAGTCTGGTTCCTGTTCGTCGAGAATTTTTAGATTATTTTTATCATAAATAATTTTTGATAAAAGATATTTACATTCGTTTTTTTGTGGGATTCTGGCATATGGGTTCATGAAATACATATTTACACCCATTCGTATATTTAGGTCAGCGGTAAGTAAAAGACGTATTTCATTCAATGTTTTATATATAGGAAGTTGTATAAGGGTAGGTGTGTCGTTATTTTTTTGAACATTAATGTCTTCGAATTTTGGCTCAGAATCTCTGGATGTTGAGGATGAAGATGCTTCTGCCATTTTGCTTGTCATAAAAAAAATGAAGTAAATGCAACGAAAAGATACGTTCGTACTTTGTTGGATTGTAACGGCATACAAATTCCTTCAACTGGGCCGGGATAGGTTACCAGCAAATCTGGTTCGCATTCATATAACAGGATCTCAAGATCTTATCGTTAAGTGCATTTACAGAAAAAGAACACAGAATGGATTAATGTAACACTATAAAATCATCCATTACATGTATGAAGTTGCCAAATTTATAATTTCTGTAACGGTAACGGAGCTTTAACTCCAGCCAAAAATTACCAAATCAAGTTTTGAGTCAAATCAGCCTGTTTTGTGGTGAAAAATATATATCGATAAGGTATATAATAATGATGTTGCGGTTAAGAATTAGAAAGAAGGCAAGAGCATTTTATAAGAGAATAACTTTGTGCGTAACTAGAAAATGAGTGTTTCACCGTTTAACTTTAAAAGCACGATTTTTAAATAAACTAACCAACGGAAAACACCTCAAAGAAAAGACTAAACAATTGCACACTCTTTATAGTGGACCTTCTTTATAATGGAGACTGACACTTATTAAATCAGCTATATTCGATGTAATATAACGAATGAAATTTTCGGAACCGTCATATAGGACATATATTCGCTATACACACTGTATGTTATAACGGCCAAAATTCTCAGAACTATGCAGCCGTTATAAAGATGTTTGACTGTAGATACCCTCAATATACATGGTGGATTTTTAATACATTGTACATGTACATAACAAATTACTGTATAACGATAAGGTTAAACTTTAAATTTCAAGTAATTTGAAATCATCTAAACTTAAACTAATAACGATAACGACGTTGGTAACTTTAAACCTTAACCTTAACGTTAAGCAATCCCATACAAAATCGCTTTCCCCGATCTCATTACTGTAATAAGCTTTCATATATAGTATTTATTTTTTCGATAGAGTAACATCTCGATATAATAACACCAAATCTCTTCCCCCGATCACGTTATTGTATCGAGCGCCCACTGTACATGTAACGATAACGATAAGCAACCTCTTAATACACTCGATGACAAAAGTTTGCAATCAGGGATCAATTTTATTAATAAAATTGATCCTGATTGCAAACTTTTGTCCATCAATAAGCAATCCTTCAAAATCAGATCCAAAAAAGGGTTACTTATATACTCGGAAGTTTACGGTAAATGTGTTATATCGATATAGTGTTAGTAAATCTTGCCCCATTTTCGGTTTAGCTGTTAACGTTAACGTTTAACGATTTAGAGCACTTTCGGCTTAGCGTTAGGACATTTGTAGTTAAACATGGTTGTATCCGGTCCCCATTAATATGACATCAGTTACTATCGCTATAACATTCGCGTTAATATGACGAAACTAACCGTAACAATTATTATGACTAAAACTAACGTCATAAGTTTGGAACTTCGGATTTTTTCCTAATTAAACGTCAAATTTCCTAAATAGATCCGGCGTGGATCCAGGATATACATGTATATGTTGTGCCTCAGATGTCGCTTCATGCGATTTTATTCGGCCAACATTAACCTATTCACCAGCACTAACCGTAATCCTAACCCTAACGCTAGTAATACTCCCATCTTAATTTAGGCCGATCGACACCTGACGCAAATCGACATTTGAGGCACAACATATCGATATATATATAAAATTTCTATCCAGATCTGTATAACCCAGGAGAATTCGGACTAAAAATACCGATAGTGTACATCAAATGCATATGATTAAACAAATTGATTTACACAAATGGAAGTATAGATTTTCTTAATAAAAACAAGGAGGTTTCGGATTCTAAACACCGATGATACATTAAAAGTATAACGCATTTTATTGTTGCAACATCACCATATTGTACCACCCTTACAGAGACTAACATTAATACTAATAATTTTTGTATTTAAATAAGGTTTGTTTTTCATTTCAAGCAAACCACTTAAAAGATGGGATCTAACATTTCGAATACTCATGATTGTAGTAAATGTAACAACTGTCAAAAAAATGAGTACTGTAGTAAATGTTCTGAATATCACTATCAAAAAACTGAATGGTTTAGCGAAAATAAAGATATAGACAATCTAATTAATGACTGTCGAAATTTAGCTTTTGAATGGATCCCTTTTGAAAGATTCACCAATGTTGAATATCTTGCGAAAGGAGGTTTTGGAACTATTTATAAAGCATGGTTGCACAAATACAGGTGGGATCATGAAAAACATAAATTTAAACGAGATGTTTTTCAAAGAAGAGTTGTGTTGAAACTATTACACAAGTCAGAGAAAATTACATTGGAGTTTATAAACGAGGTAAAACATGAACAATTTTTTAAGCATAAGCATTTTTTTGTCTAATCCAGTTAATTTTTTTCAAAAATAGATTCAGACTGGTTTAAAGTGCAGCACTATTAAATATTATGGAATAACTAAAAACTCAGTTACAAATGAATACTCGATAGTGATGGATTATGCAAAAGATGGCGATCTACGCAAATATATGAATTCCAACCACCCAAAATTGACTTGGGAAGCAAAATTAAAATATTTAGTTCATATTCTCTATGATTTGCGTAAAATTCACCAAGAGGGATTTGTACATCGTAACTTACACCCTGGAAATATATTATTACATGATTCTGATTTTGCTCGAATTACCGACCTTGGACTTACCGGCCCAGCAGATATAAAAAGATATGATCAACAAATTTACGGCGTACTTCCTTATATGAGTCCAGAAGTACTAAGGGGAAAGCCATATATTAAAGCTGCAGATATTTATAGTTTAGGGATGGTTATGTACGAAATTGCAACAGGCAAACAACCATTTGGTGAGCAGGGTCATGATATAGATCTTGTATTAGACATCTATAACGGAGTAAGACCTACGATATCAAATATTGTTCCCGGATGGTGCAAATTTATTATTGAAAAATGTTGGGATCCCATTCCAGAAAACAGACCAACTGCTTCGAAACTTCATGACTTTATTGATTCTTATAGATATAAATGTGAAGGGAAACTGAACGCTTTGCATTTTCAGTACTATAGCTACCACAATTCTTTAGGATATTCTAGAACGCAAGAACAAATATGCGAGTTTCTTAAATCAGAATGGCAGCAATTAAAAGGCGAGGAGATAAAATTGCTAAAAGAACTTGATAGCGAGAAGAATATGCGTAAAAGCATTCAACAAATACACCCAAATGCAGTTTACACTAGTAGAATCTTTACTAAAAAACAAATTTCAATTCCAAATGGCAAAGGTACATTCTATTTTAAATATAAATCATATTGACATTCATATTGATTATAAATTTATTTTGGATATTTAGGTGTCAGCTTGCATCTGTATATTCCAAATGATTCTTATTTCAAAACAACACGTGAAATTGGAGATGTCGATACATCGAGTGTTGAAACACTTCCACTAAAACAGGTTAACCCAGAACTACCGCTCGTCGATGATGACAAGAACGACATCGAAAAAAGCTCTTTAGATTCTACGCTATTAAAACAGCATTCTTCTTCACCAGAAGAACATAAAAAAATTCAAAATGATTTATATGTTAGACGCTTGCAAACAGTCGAAGAGGTAGCTAAAGCAACAATATTAAAAGAAACATGGGAAGAAGAATTCAAATCGACTAATGGCATAATTGTCGATAAATATTCAATTGAACAATCAATTGATCCCGTGATAGACTCGCCAAAACCAATAATTGAATACAAGAAATCACAAAATATGAAGATTTCCTACGCGTCAAAAAAATGTGATTCTTTTAGGCTTTCTGAGGGAATAGAAATTGATGCAAGTTCATCCGAAGATTTAAGGAAGTTTTTCGTGCTACTCGATATGCATCCCAGAAATCATTCAGATAATGCATTTTTAAATGAACTAGAAACACATGATGTGTATTGTGAGATTGCAAGTGAGCAAGTTTCAATTGAATATAATATTCAAAATATTGAAATCACTGCTGAATTTAAAGATGCTATTGGAAAAGCTTTAAAGACAAACACGCCAATTGAAGATTTAAAACGTGTTTTTAACAAATTCGGACATTTATTTACCACTAAAATAATAATTGGTAATAAATTACAAAGGATGGTGCGCTTAAATGGAGAAAAAGATAAAGAGAATCATGTGTCAATTTATCATGACATAGGTAAATAATAACGATATCTATGTTTATGATTTATTTACTCGAGAAATCAACATACCTTTTTTTGCTAGGTAATGAATCTTTAAGCCTCTGGAAAGAAAAAATTCAACCGTACGATTCTTCGTATCTGTGGACAATGGATGGTGACCCAATTGAAATCAAGTAATCTTTAGTTCTTTATAAACTCTCTGTTTTAACATTTCTACTTTGTTTGACAGTTTATTTTTCTTCTTAATTCAGCCAAATTTCAAATTGGCTTGAAACTATTCCATTATTCGAATTAGAATGGCATATTATCAAGCGCATCGTTACCCCATTATATAAAATTCTTTGTATCAATCAACGAAAAGAAATCGAAAAACTTTTCAGTAAACAAGATCATATTCTAATAACCAATACAACTGAAATTTTGGCCTTTAACACCGGATATCAACGGATAGAATTTAATAGCAAACTAAAGAGCAGGAATTATCAAATATTTGGAAAAATCGTGGATGCCAATGGCAAAGAGTTACCAAATATTTATGTGAAGTTTAGTCTGAAATCAGAGTATGGGTTTTCAGTAAATTGGATTCGGGCTGGCGATAAGAATTTTTCTATAAAGTAAGAAATTATTACAAGAGTTTTCCTTATTATGCAAAAAATGAATATTAAAAATTGACTTTTTTATTTTATAAGCTTACAAACACTATCGCTTGAATGGAGACTAATTGGCTGTCCAAGTGAGATCGGTTACTTTGATTCAACAACTCGTGATAAAGAAATTAAAACTGGGTCTACAGAATTGAAAATTGCATCCAATAAAGAAGCACCAATTTTGGAAGTTGAAGATCCAACACAACAGTGGTCTTGCCGAATAAATACATGTATTGACAAACCTGACAAACCTCTTTCTTCATCTTCTATTTCACTCAACCTCGAATATCCTACCACACGAAAAGCGCCAATTTTTAAAGCATCTTATAAAATATTGCAACAATTTTATTCAATTATCGAGGTAAAAGTTGAGCTAATCAAAGCTGAGTATGTTGAATTTTTGAATGAGGATGAAGAGATTACAGTTACAATTCGATGGTGTGTTATTTGAATGATGGTAGTGTCATGTGAATATGTAAAATAAAAAATAGTTCAAATTTATTGTTATATAGTATATAATAAAAAATAGAAAAAATAACACGTGTATACAATAAATTAAGCCTGTGGTTTTCCAGAACTAAAAAAACCAGATTTTTGCCTGATTATTTTTTATAGAGCTAGTAATAGTGTAATAAAAAATTAAGTTTCTATACTATGAATTCAGCCAAAATTATAAGAGTGCTAAATAGAGAGCTAAAAAAGCATACAATTCAAAAATTAGAAATATTGCTAAAGCTTACAAAAAATAAAAGATGCAAAAATTGTACTTGCTTGCTGAAACTTTACCACATATACTAATATGAAGATAAAGAAAGTTCTAAAGAATATCAGATATTTTACCTGAAGCAAGTCATCCATATTAAAAGTTATTAAACAGCAAGAAAAGTTATGGAGCAAGCAAAACCAAATAGATAAAGATTTGAATTGCTACTATTATGGAAAGAAAAAAATATAATAAAATATATCACTAAAATAAATAATTAATAATAATAAAGAACAAATTATAATTTTTGAAATAAATTATGATTCTTGAATTACTTTACAATTTACTAACAAAATACATAATTATAAAATATAAAAAAATAGAAATTAAGAAATTATAGCAGCAAATTTCAACTTATAGAATTCACTTTGCAAAAATTATATTTTAAAGTCAATATAATATTATTAATTATATGGTGCATAAAATCTAAAGTCATCAAACGTTTGTATTTAATAAAATTGATAAACTTCTTTACTAAGAAGTAAATACAAAATTTAAGCCGTGAATATGCTCAGAAAAGGCCTATTCTATCATATTCACGGATTAAGTTTTGTATTTACTTCTTAGTAAAGAAGTTTATCCATTTTATTAAATATAAACGTTTGATGACCTTAGATTTTATGCACCATATAGGGTTTTTCAGAAATTATTTTGAAATATTTAACCTGATCTAAGCTTGATAAAAGCCAGTTAAAAATCAGTATTAAGATTTTATCAAAAAGAAAAATACACTTTTTAATTCATGTGGACATCTGACAGAATGTTGTAATTTTTTGTTATAATAATTTTTTTTTAGCAAATTAATAAGAAATATTTTTTAATTAGTCAAGAAATTTATTAATTTAATATTCGTCTATTTATTTCAATCTCACATATTTTTTAATTTTTCATTTTTGATACAGGCTAATTTCACACTTTGTAATTAAATTTGTCACTATTAATATACATGTATAATTATCTTCTTGAGAAATCAATTACATGCAAATAAGCTATACTACATGATCAAAACTATTGCACGAAATTACACGTAATAAAAACATGAAAAGTTATATTATTTGGTAGCTTACAGCTCGAGCACTCCAGTCGCATCAAGTTGAGTTCATTTTTTAAATGTCATAACATCCAAAAAAAAGATATATTTATTTTAAAAATCATCATACTTCAATAAAATAGATCAAGAGTATAACGAGTTTTTAAAATTAAGATATCCTTTTGGATGTTACATTTACGTAAGTATCGGTATCGTATACATGTACATGTACATGTACTGTTGTGTTGATTATAATAACTAGTCAAAGAGGGTTTTCACAACAGGGGTGAGAGCTAGACTGAATTATTTATGAGTAAAGGGTTTCGTTGGGCGTTCTAAAAGCTTCCCGTGGGGACTTGTACGCAAATCGACATTAAAGGTAAGGGACGTTTACAAAATAATAATAAAACAAAATAAAATTATAATTCAAAATCAAAATCAAAATCAATTTAACGATTCTAACGCAATAGAATTATTGATGCGGCCATCCAAAAAATAAAGTCAATCCAACAAGGCTTATTGGTACGGCCTGTCCAAGAAAGATCAAAACAAAATAACAATCCAAAAGAGATTAACGGCTTATTTAGAGT